AGTTAATTAAGAAAACATTAAAAAACAAGGGTAGAAATTGCTTGGGAAGTTATTTTTATGTTTTATGAGCATTTCTCAAATAAGTAGAAAAGTGTTGGAATTTTCTTTACAGATTTTCTTTTTGGGTTTATTTGTTTGATTGAGTTTGTTTTCTATGTCTTTCTAAACTATCTTTCAACAATTAAAAAAAATCCTTTTTTCTACAGTTCTGAAAAACAGCACTGCAAAGACAACACAAGTTTAATTACCTCAATAAGCCATGGCTTAAGCTTGTCATCGATAATGATGTCATATCCATAGCATTCAAAGCAATGTTTATCATTGTTCATCACAGGCTATAAGAGATGAAAGTAAACATGAGAAGAAGGATGTGCAATAGATCATCTTCGTAGTGTATTGAAGAAGACTATTTAAATAATGTGCACAAGACATTTCAAATATAACCTGAATATTTACAAAGAAGTTGTGCAAGCTTACCAATAATACTATAGATAAGAATATAAATCCTCAAATATAAAGAGGAAGAATATGAAATCAAACAAAAGATTCACAATTTATTTGTCTGAAACTGTAAATAAAAAGAATGCCTACAATTCCAGAAGGCAAACTGTTCTAGTATTTTTTACAGTCATAAAATCCCTCTTTTTTTTTTTTTTGCTCTTATAGACTCTTGAGAAGAATGTCTTATCTTTTCCTTATTTAAAAATTCTCAGGAAGGCTATTAAGTTTTTATGTAACATTTTTATTTTGAAGGCTAATACACTTGTCACTCTTAATAGAGTTAAGTATATTGGTAGCTTTCTCCCATAATCTAATAATAAGATGGCTTAGATTCAATAAATCACTCAATGAGCTATTTTTCTTAGAATTTGTATTTGTAGCTGTACATTCTTTTGTAAGGTTGCTAAATGTCATATTTATCTTGATTTTACTTTTGTTTAAAGATCAGTGGAATGCATACCATAAAATAAGTATTTATTGTGCTTTTATATTACACAGCTTCTCTTATGTTTGACATTCCACATTCCAGAATAGCAGAATATGTAAAATAATGGATTACAAAATATAAGGAATAAAAAATATGTCAAACATTTACTATGATACTTGTTCACATTTCAGTAACAAATATAAGTAACCATTGAAAAGAATCTGAACGGTCTTTTGTATTTCTTAACGTTCCTTTATCGTAAACTTGCTTTTTCTACTCACTGCAACTGCTTTCAATGATTGTACAATTATCCAATGTATTTCATCAAACAGCTTGTTTGTGACATCTTTCCCTCGAGTGCTTTCCAGATACAAACGCAGATTACTGACCGTCCATTTGCCACCATGAATGTGGTTGTAATCATCCTACAAAGGTACATCAAATTATCATTTTTACTTTCAAAAGACTTTTCAGAACCAGACGTCTTCTTTAAATCTGATAATTTGGATTATGCACACAAACAATCAACAAAAAAAGTATTAAGTAGGCTTTAATGCATTTTTATCCTGCCAGGACACATCCCATAGTCTTTTAATATTAATTTAAGGACAAGATAAATTCCAAAGCTAATAAACAGAATAATTAACAGAAGATTTCAGTCTAGGTGTGTTAAAATGTTTATGTTCTAGGAAAGCAAAAGGCTACGTCAACTGTTCATTGGCTACTTGTTTCAAGTGATAGATTTAATCCTTTATGTTCTAGATAGAATATTGTTTTATGGTTTTTGTATTCTTGTGAGTGGCCTAAAGTCTCAGGACACAGCTGCATATAAATTATCACAAACAAATAAGTATAGAATAGAATAGTATTCTTTATTGGCCAAATATGATTGGACACACAAGGAATTTATTTCCAGGGCCTCAAAATTTTGCTGCCAATAGCAGCCTCGGCGAAATGATCTGTAGTAGTTTTGATGTTTCTTAATATTTTCTGCGACTCACTGCGAATTGCATACACAAGAGATGAGACTCTGAATAAATAAACATATTTAGAAGTATAACTGAGCAACTTGATTTTTGTTACACATTTTAATTAATTCCAAATAATTTAGATCTACATTATAAAAGGAACTTACCCCATGTTTCTGAATGGCAACATTTGTAAGATGGACAAACATGTTATCCAATTCACTTGTACTTGGAGTATATTTTACTGTGCAAAATCGGCAAAACCCAAGTTTATACCTTAAATATAAAGAAAAGATATTATCTTATAATTTAAATGTTCTTGAAGAGACAGCTTCTTTGACAGTAGTTGCTTTGATCTTTCTTTTTTTATTTATTACAATTTTATAACATATTTTATTTCATGTAAACTGATTTTCTATGCAAAGGGTTGGTTACTTTTGTCCTGTCCAATCAACTTTTCTACTTTGATCTCTTTCTGAATACCTTGTTACTATTTTAATCCTTATTCTATTGTTTCCTATTCTGTTGTGTTTTAATTTATAAATTGCCTGACAGATTATGTATTATTATTTAAGAGTCCAATTCCAATTCAATCAATAAGTAGCGAACCAAATATGATTCAATATGTACAGTGGAAATCTGGTGGGATTTGTAAGAATTTAAATAGAAAAAGAACATAGAAATGAACATTGGAAATTAAAAGCCTTTGATTTTTCCCACCACCATCACTCCCCTTTCAGCTACCACCATTCCCTGAATAAACATATAATCATAACACTTCACTTAGCACTTCACTGGCTCCATCAAAAATCCTTAAGGTAAGGAAAGACGCCAGATCCCCCTCATAATAATCCACACCTACGAAGGATCTTCCTTCCTGAATTTCACACATCCTTAGGTCTATATCTTATATACATCTAAACATACACCTCACAATTAAAGCTTAGGGCAGGGGTAGGCAACCTTGGCTCTTTTATGACTTGTGGACTTCAACTCCCAGAATTCCTGAGCCAGCATAGTACCGGTAGTACATCCCTAACATTGTAGGCTACCTTCAACCCTTGCACGTGGTTGGATGAATAAACTACTCCTAACAGCTGCCACTTGTGCTTATTTGTAACCCAGCTCAGGAAACGGACCACAATAATTCTTCTAACACATTCAACAAGGAAACAATAGAAAGAGAAGAATTGTACTGTTTTATGCACCCATTGCTGCTCCAAAATTCAGATGTTGATCTGGTAGACAGGATCTAGTTTAAAATAACTGGAGGAACAAGTAAACCAACACTGCTATTTCTATCTAGTATCGTATCAGCCAGGGAGAAGAGATGGGTGAACACACTTGATCTTTCAAAGAGGTATGAAATGCAACAGAGGATGGTATTGGACCCGAGGAGATACAGGAAAGAATGGGTCCTATAGTGGTCATTCCACGGGATAAGAGAACTGGCACTAGAACTTCTCCTCTCCTTGCTCCTTGACAAGAAAAGTCATAATGAGAGAAGACAAATCTTTCTTCTTTCTTATCAGAGACAGAAGCAACAGTGGAGAGAAGCAGCAGAAAATGACTCCTTTGGTATCGTTTTTCCTAGGAGACCAGATCCTGGAATGAAGGAATTGTTCTCCGCCCTGCCTCTCTCTTCCCCATGATTCCTGTGCAAATAAAACTTCTACTTCATTGCCAGGGCAGATTAGGCATTGGAAGTGTGATTCCCAAACTAAATAATGGTATTGAGTACTGCCATGTGAAAGAATCCTGAACCACCAGGTCAAGATTGGGTGTATCCTAGCCCAGGACAGGCATGGCAAGTTTGGCTGACCTGGTCTGAATGGGCAGGAAGACAGAGCTAACCCATTGGTGGATTCTCCATCTCCTGTGCTGGAGAATAGGAGACTATAAAAAGAAATTGAAGTAGGTTTTAAAGGAAAGGGTTAAAGGGGATAAGATAGCGCTCTTCAAATAGCAGAAACAATGCTGCCCCGAAAGCCAAGATTATTCTCCATTGCCCCAGAGTGCTGAATATGGAGTATCAGACATTAATAACAATATAGGAAGATTCAATGTTATAGTTGAATATTAGGGGGGGGGGAATCTTCTAAACTGGAGCAGCAGATGATCAGTGTAACCTGAAAGGTGATGGATCTCTTTATTAGCATGTTTTAAGCATAATCTATAATCTAAACCAGCGGTTCTCAACCTGTGGGTCGCGACCCCATTTGGGGTCGCACGACCATTTCACGGGGGTCGCCAAACCACTCCGTCCGCCATTTTTTTTTTGCCCTTTTCCTTAGCTGTGCTACTCCCTGTGCTTGGCGGCAGCCTGCATGCATGAACTTTACCAAATGTGCCCTGCAGGAGGCGTGTGAAGAGCGCAGGCGCAGAGCAAGGCCCCACCCTCCCCAGGGATTCATTTCAGATTTAGGCGGCAAAAGTTTTTCTCGCGCAGAGGAGAGAGGAAAAACAATTG